TGCCGGCGTTCTCGTTCAACCCGGCTATGAACATCAATACGATAGCAGTCCACGCTATTCTGCAAGCACTGAATCTAGTAAATCTGAGATCATTGCACATGACAATGATGTGGCCACGAAATCGTCCTTAACTGACGCCAAGCATCCTACAACCATCGACTCATTACTTCCAGAAAATGAGCCTACTGATACTACTGGTAAATATTCCAAAGAACAAGAATAAAATTCGACATCTTCAAATAATAATGCACCGCTTATCTTGAAAGTCGTGTAACAGCTTATACGAGTTCCAGTGAAACGCGAACGTAAATTAACGTATCGATATTAATGCGATATCAATGTAAACTGTTTAATTACAGATAAGAGTCTGGAGATATGTCAGGAGGTGACAAAAGACTTATTATCCATTCGCCTGCCTGATGATTCGTTTAAATACTTAAAATATTTCAACACCGAAGATGCGTTGAAACGTATCAAGCATGTCCCATTCTCAACTGACGACATGTCTTCACCCATCGATTACTCGTTACTTCCAGAAAACGAATTTCCAGAAAGCGAGCGTACTGATACTACTGGTAAATATTCCAAAAAACAATAATAAAATTTGTGACATTTTCAAATAATAACCTAATGCACCGTTTATCTTGAACGTCATGTAACTTCAGCTTATACATGTTCCAATGAAACGCGAACGTAAATCAGCGTATCGATATTAATGCGAATTCAATGTAAACTGTTTAATTACAGATAAGCGTCTGGCGTTCTGTCGGAGCATGAATGATGTCTTCACAGCCACCATTCATCAAGGCCTGGAGCGCCTCAATAATTTGTCATCAGTATATCAAACTTTGAAATCCAGGAATATGATAAAAACGAATATAACCATACTTATTTAAAATGCAAAAAACATACATTTATTTTTGTTATTTTTTAACAGTGTTTGGTATATTCCTTCGCTGAATAAAGTACGTAAGACTATCGAAATTAAGAAGAAAACATAAGCATATATTCTCCCTCCTTTGTCCGCTTAGTAGACGAACTTTTGTATACGATTTTCTAAATAAGAAATAAAATATTTTATTTCAATATTATATAAATCTATGTGTATGCATGTACTAATTCCGTAAACGTAAATATTTTAATAAGATCATGTTCTTTTCGTTACATTTTTAACACACGCCATAAACCTTATCATATATCATAAAACTCTAAATAAAAAACTATTTAGACACTGAAATTTATACATAATATATATAGTAATATCTTAATAATTTTACACTGTTGGAAAATTATAGTTTTGTTAAAAAAAGATTCTTGTTAAAATTTTTGTGTAAAATAATCAACACATACATGGGTAGATTTGACATATGCCTGCTACGTTAATTGAACTTAACAAATTTAAAATGTAAAATTGTTAAAATAATTTAAAAAATATATTAAAGTAACACAACTTGAACGTATTTATTAAATGTGTTAAAATTTACAGAAAAAGAACGTTGATTTTACTCTATAACAGAAATGGGAATAAAAATTTACAGAAAGAGTAGTGTTGATTTTATCTTACTTCAACATAAAAGTTAATATGTTAATTGTACACATAATTATAGCCTCAAATTACGATCAGAATTACATTTCCTTTTTGTTGAAATATTTTAACATATGTATCGGTTTAAAACATCCATATTATGTTAAATTAACACAAAAAATTTGACCAATCAGAACAAAGTTTACTAAACTTGAGATCAATTTTCTCCATTCTGATTAGGCGCGTTCAGCAGACCAAACCGCTCAGTAGCAGTCGAACGTGATTGGCTCTTACTTTTAGAACCAACCAATCAACGCAGCGTGTTGATAAGACCAACTCAACACTTGTGTCTGCTGAACACGGCCATTGATTAAATTTCAATCCAAACTCAATCCCAATCCGTAGTCTGATACGGGCTAAGAAAGGGTTACAATCCATGAAAATTTAATTTGAGTTAACTAGGGATTTTTGTTCGTGCCAACTGGTGCCAACCCTATCCCCTCTCTTTTTTATGGAAATTGTCTTGTAACCTAAAATTACTAATGAGATGTCAACAAAAGAAACATAATAATTAATAGGCCTCTGGCCTCCGATGTAGAGTTCCCCAGGTTTCCCTCGCTTTACTACTCTACAGCAAGTGCGTGTTTTTCTACAGAGACACGTGTGTTTCGGTCAGTTCCATTCGATGAGATCCACACGCGTGGATCACTCTGGAGTGCTACTATTTATTAGAAGAAGAAGCGGTTAGACATAACCATGAATTCGGCGAAGAGTAACGGCGAGACTGGCAACGTGCTGGAGGAACTCGGTGTACCAGGACAGGAATGTTTGAGAGACGCTTTAACAAGTTGTACGGATCCACTGAAAGCCATCGAGGGATTTCAGGTAAAAATTCGGAGGAGACGGTGGAGGCATCGTTCACCAAGCGCAGTACCATAAGTTAAAGTTAGTTTATATTAGATTTGCAGCATTTTACATGGCAACGATATTTTATTTCAGCTGGAAAACGGTATATTACTACCGTCGTTGCGGCCTATGCTACCTCTGCTCGATCTGCACGGAATCAGAAGGTTGGACTTTCACGCCTCCGTTCTCGAGGAGTTACGGGACAGGCTGACCAAGCAGATCGATGAGATTGGCGTGGAGAGGGCGGACAAAGGCACCGCCGTGGACAAGAGACTGAAGGAATTGCTGGCAAGAGGCTTTCCCGGCGTCAGAATCCCTGCCTTGCAACCTGTTATTATGAGTATCTTGAGGAATACTCCACACATCGAGGATAAATACTTGCGTGTGTTGATTAGAGAGAAAGAATTGTACAGTAATGCCGATACGGAAGTAAAGCGTCAGATATGGAAGGATAATCAAAGTCTTTTTGGCGACGAAGTCTCCCCATTGTTCAGCCATTATATCATTGAGAAAGAACATACTCTCTTTGACCATCAGAACCTGAACAATCCATTTTTTATGCCATCTCCTAAGGTACGTTACAATTTAAATTTGCAAATCACGTTGTACAACTCTCTCACTTTGCACAGGTGAGGAGACAGGGGGACTATGTGCAGAAATTAGCCCATATGATTGGGCACAGTGTGAAATTGTATGACATGGTACTGCAATTTCTAAGGACTTTGTTTTTACGCACAAAGAATATCCATTATTGCACTCTGAGAGCAGAACTGTTAATGGCTTTACACGATTTAGAGGTAAACGTGTCCAACATATTTGCATATATTATTATTGATTACTTTTCTAGATTTTATTATTAGTGAAGCATAATGATATATGCCTTGAGCTACATTGCTTTGATCTATTGAATGTGTTATTTTATTGCCAGGTGCAAGATATCATTTCTGTAGATCCATGTCATAAATTCACGTGGTGTCTGGACGCCTGTATCAGAGAAAAGAATGTGGATGTTAAGAGATCTCGCGAGTTGCAAGGCTTTCTGGACAGTATTAAGGTACAAAATTGAATCAAGATTGCGTCTTATAACTTTATTTGGAAAGCGATATGATCTATAGTTTTTATAGAGAGGACAGGAGCAAGTATTGGGGGATCTAAGTATGATTTTGTGTGATCCCTATGCAGTAAACTTTCTCGCTAGTAGTGCAATCAAAATAGCGCTTCATTTGATAAACAGTGAGGCGTTGCCCAGAGAAAATGCAGTGCTTGTACTGTTGTTGCGAATGCTCGCGTTAGGACTGTCCGCTTGGCAGATGATCGATTCGCAAGACTTTAAGGAGCCAAAACTAGACAGTCAAGTTGTCACAAAGTTCCTGCCAGCACTTATGTCACTCATGGTAAATATGAAATAATGAAAATATCTGTACAGAGAAATAATTTAATTTTGTGATATAGAAACATGGACACACATACAAGTAATATGGTCATTCCTTAGGTTGATGATCAAATAAGGCAGCTCAACTGTAAACTTCCACCCGATGAGAGGGAAAGTGCAATTGCAATTATAGAACATTCCGGGCCACCTCCCGATGCGTGCCAAGCGTACGCTCAGCTTTCTGGAGTGGCGGCAGTTCTGTCTATGTACTATGCATTACACGTTGGTGGTGGCGGCGGAGGTGGAAGGGGCAGGGGTGATGCCAGAGGTTTGATGAGGGTACTTGCGACATTACCGAATTGTCAAGCGCAACGGGCTTTTGAAGATCCATTTCTACACACGCTGGTAACATATCTAACATAATATATTCGATGTATCTTGAAATTATTATTAAATATCATCGTTGTCTATCATAATTGCATCAAGTTCCAAATTACAAGCTTTCATATTGACAAAGTTGCTTTTTAATTGCAGGTTTCGTTGTTAATATCGAACATGGCTGACGAATTCTCAAATGAGTCTTTCTGTACAGTAATCTTTGACGAATTCTTCCTGGCTGGTTTAGGTAGGGACAACGTTACACGACATCTGCTAAAATTACTTTGGTACATACATCATAAATTGCCGTCCACGCGATTACATTCGTTACTGAAAGCCTTGCAACCGACAAGTCAGGTAATACTTCACAATATCCAGAAAAGTCCGTCAGTACGTTCCGCGCGCATTAGATGTGATAACTTACAATTAGTTATGAAGATATTTTGGTTTCATTATATATGTATAAGATTAATACATATATAATATATACGTATTTAAATTTGCAGCACAACGAAGCAGTCCACACTCTTTACGAGTCTCTACGTGACAAAGTCGGCAGTCATTCCACAGAGGACCAATTAGCAGCGACAGCTCAAATGGACCCGTTACTTGATTGTCCTTCCTCCGTGTTTACTGGAATGCCACCATCGACATCGAGCACGTGCTCACTTTAATATCTAATTCAAGAACAGTGAGTGGAAAGAAAAGGTTTGAGCTTCCTCAACTTATAATATATAAGAAAGAGTGATCACTGTGTGTGATGTGTGCTATCATTGTATATCCTAATTTAATATTGTGTTGTCAGAATTTTTTTACTCTTTTTTCAAAATCTCCAGCCTCCGACTATATAAAATTTATTATCCTACACAGATAAGATTATTGTTTATCCATTTATTCGATAGGAATGATAATGCAGTAATGTCACGCGTCTCTCGAAAAAATCGTCCGAGTTATCAGAAATTTATTCCGAGCTTAAATTGGAATATTTTTTAGGCAATTTCAATCTAAATAATAGATTGTATTGTTTCGTTTATTAAAAGAATTCTTAAAATTATTTGTCTATTTCTTCAACTGATCTTTCACAATATTTGACTTTGATTCACGTGCTTATTGGAACTTGTATATTTAATAAACCTCCAAAATAGGGCGAAAAAAGAAGAGTGTAGAAATACATTAAATTCTTAAATTTGAAATTTGGTAGATCTGTTAGCTATTAAATGATATTAAAACTACCGAACAAATTAAAAACACTTAACAATTTAAAAACGGACAATATAATGAGAAACGTTAAAAATAAAAATGAAGAAAATTACTAAACAAAGTTTCAAGACTTCGGAGTTTCGACAATGGTTTCGATTTGGACGAAAAAAAAGTCTCGGATTAAAATTCGTGCAATTGTTTAAAATACATCAGCGTTGGCCGCCACGTTCGAGCTAACGCACGCGCGGAAGCGAAACGGACATTAACCTCCGCTGATCCCAGCTGATCGCGACGACGCGCGTGAAGGCCGAAAAACTATTTTGTAATGTTTTAAAGCGCTTTTAACTGAAAATTTTGTCACGTATTACCGTCCTCGCGTTCATCCCACGGACGAATAATACTATGACGATGTCAGCTACAAGGAGACAAATGTCTGAGAAACAGAGGCTGAAGAAGATGAGGTAAGTCCGCTTATTCGCTTTAGTCGAAAAAGAAAAAAACAGATCTCGCGAATCTCCCTTCTCACCTGAATTGAATTTCGCTTTAAGCAAGGCGCAGCTGCAGCTGGCCGTGATAAAAAAGCAGCAGTGCGACGCGAAAGCTCTCGCGATAGTTGTGCAGCTTCTGGAACCGCACGTGGATCCCGACTGGTTCCTTCCGAATGTAAGTGCGCTAGCAAATCTAGGTTTTCTTCGTATTTTGGCAGTTTAGACGTTCAACAATAATATCGTAGTGATTTATTAATGACTTATTGCTCTTACAGCTGGGACTCATAAGCAAGAGCCACATGGAAGACGTGATAGAGGAGAGAGCGATAGTAAAGCTGTGCAGTTACGTTCTCTGTTCGAACCAACTGACTGTCGTTATCCGACAGAAGTATCACATATCGACGCGTAATAATAAAGTGTACGACGTCAGCAAACGGAAGAACTTTTGCAGCTCGTTGTGCTACAGGGCGGCCAATTATCTTCTGGAGCAGATGCTTGAGAGTCCACTGTGGATGAGAGATAAAGAGGATATACCGGTCTTTCAGATTCTGCCTCTGAGTTCTAAATCTACACAGTGCAGGGACGAGATCGACGTTGCTGCTAAAGAGATTTTTTTATAGCTACTTTTTAGCAATAAAAGTTATATACATAAAAAATGTGATTACAAAGTGGTTATAAAATTGTGCAAGACATTTAAATAATCTAGACAGAATATACAATAATTAATTATATTTTCAAACAATATTTTACGTGAAGTTAAATATAGAGATAATAATATTAAGGCATAATAAAATTAGATAAATTTTAATATTTATGAAACTATTTCAGTTTTTTATTATTTATCGTCCTATTTAGATGCGCCTACATTGTTTGTAATGTCCATTATAAGTCTGTCTAAATAATTGGAATCTAATTTGTACGTTGTGAGACTCATAGACGTGTACATTGAGGCTTGCTTAGATCGGAGCAACAATTGTAGTTGTGTATCAATCAAGCTCAACCTGGAATTATATATACACTTTTAATATAAGTTTTTTAAAATCAATTTCATATTAATTTTTAATTAAACATTGCATATAAACTTACATTTTAATGACTACAAGTCCCACGAGTGTCCATTCGGCGTTTTTGAAGACAATATTTGCAGCAGATAAATTAAAAGTGGTAATCAAAATCTTGATTAATGAGTACCTCTCATTATTATAAGTATATTGTGCCAGTGAAGAAATATTCCCGTTGGTCGTTAAAGCGCGCATCAAATCTGGTAATCTGTAATTAACAATGCGCGAACATGATAGCCATCATCGAATTTTAAATAACTTTTTCAACATTTGAGGTCCATTGCTTTGGAAAAAAAAATAGAGATTATTACATTTTATGAAGGTTGTCCAAGAAAATTCGGCGACGAAGTGCATTAGGCGTGTGACTGCCTGTTAATGGTAATACAGGCTCATCGTTATCATTACTTTCCGATTCTTTGGCGCTACCCTCAGGTGGTGGAATTGTCATTCGTCCTTCGTAAAACGCACGTACCTGTACACATACTACAAATAGTTAATACATCCTGTTTCTGATTAAATTGAGATTAATATTTTAACGCACCTTTAATTCCATTTTCTTTCCATCCTCTTGGAGCACAGAGAAGTGAGGTAAAGGTTTGAGCTTTTTCTCTCTCGTTTCGTTTCTCTCTAAATCGACACGATCCTCCTTTTCATCCTGCACTTGCAGCTTGTCTAACTTTTTACACAACTTCTGGTACCTGTCGTACTGCGTAAGTTTCTCTAACAACTGATTCTTCTCATCCGCCTCGCCGATTAGAAGGCAAAGCGTATCTTTTGTAATCCATTCTCTAACGCTCTGTTCAACATGCATCGCGAGATTTTGACAAATATTGTTTTGTACTTCTGCATTGTCAGCTTTTTTCGGCTTGTACTTTTTACATTTATTAGTTTTCTTTGCTTCTCCTATTTTTTTATGTTCACTGCACGCAGATGCAGAAGAGATTACAGTATTATTACTACTACACATTTTGTCCGATTGAGATTGTATCATTTTTCCATTATTAGGGCTATTATTTATTTCATCTAACTGAGACTGTAATCTTTTTTTATTTTCATCGTTCTTGTCACTCATTTCGACTGATTGAAGCTGCAACCTTTCACTAGTGTCATTTTGATCATTACCTATTTCATCGAATTGAGGCTGCAACGCTTCATCATTATCACATATATTTACATTGATATTTTTACTTTCTGTATCCTTATTGTGTTTATGCAAGTGTAGAATATTCTCAGATTGGCCAGCGACTTCTATTTCCAAATTCTCCAGGTTATCTACTTGCTGGATATTGTTATCGTAGTTACTTCCACGATTTGCAAATTCTTCCGAATCACAGTCTTCACTTTCTTGATTGCGTAGCTCCCATGAATGCGTCTCGCGATTAGAGTTGGACAAATATGGAATCTAATTAACAATTACAAATTACAATTATATTAATGCAATTAATAATTACATTCTATAATTGTTAATTTTTGTAAACAATTAAATGAAATAATTGTGAAAAGTAATTGTGTACAAATTACAATTACGTAATTGTTAAATGTTAATTGATTAAATGTAATTGTAATTATAATTAGGATAAAAGTGATTAAGAGTACCTACATGTCGTCTGAAGGTACATGTAGTTAATACCTTGACGTAGACAGTGATTGAGCTAACTTTACTGTCATGGAAACTCTACCAATGTTTAATGAGTTGTAGGAAGATTATTTTGTTGTTTGATTACGTTTGAGAATCAAAGATAAGTTAGCAATCAACATTATAATTTTTTATTTCTAGATTTTAAGAGCGTGTCATTATATTTCAATAATAAAAAACTAAGTGTTTCATTAATGAAGAACTTCTTACATTTTATATTATTATTTAAAAAATAATCTCTCTCTTGTTTATAAAATAATATACAATGCATTTCTTTCTTTGTATAATCTATCGAGGAGTTTTTTGAAAATTATATGTCGACTAAAAATATCAAATGCTTCGGAGACTAAAAATACACCATATCGCTACTTTGGAAGAAAATCAGTACAACTCAAAAGGCATCAGTTTAGAGAACGTCTTTCAAAAATTTAATCAAATATCACTGATTTTCAAAAAATCACATCAATAATCTCTTTTACCCAGTTAATACAATGACAATGTAATTACAGTGTAATTATAGTTATGAGTAATTACAATTACAAATTATTGTAACTACATTGTCATTGTAATTACATTGTAATTGTATTCCTAAATTAAATTAAAACTTTCCGACAGTTACCTCGTTCAATGAATGGGAGTTGCAGATCTCTCCTTTCTCAGGGCTCGATACATTGCACGCCGCATCTTTTTCCGTCTGCTTGGTCGCGTTATGTTCCATAGATCCTTTGCTGTCGTCATTATTGTCAGCATCTGCATTTTGCGACAGTTTAATTCCAGCAACGTCGATCTCGTCCCCGCACTGCGTAGATTTAGAACTCAGAGGCAGAATCTGAAAGACCGGTATGTCCTCTTTCTCTCTCATCCACAATGGACTCTCAAGCATCTGCTCCAGAAGATAATTGGCCGCCCCGTAGCACGACGAGCTGCAAAAGTTCTTCCGCTTGCTGACGTCGTACACTTTATTCTTGCTCGTCGATATGTGATACTTCTGTCGGATAATGACAGTCAGTTGGTTCGAACAGAGAACGTAACCGCACAGCTTTACTATCGCTCTCTCCTCTATCACGTCTTCCATGTGGCTCTTGCTTATGAGTCCCAGCTGTAAGAGCAATAAGTCATTAATAAATAACTACGATATTATCGTTGAACGTCTAAACTGCCAAAATACGAAGACAACTAGAGTTGCTAGAGCACTTACATTCTGAAGGAGCCAGTCGGGATCCACGTGCGGTTCCAGAAGCTGCACAACTATCGCGAGAGCTTTCGCGTCGCATTGCTTCTTTTTTATCACGGCCAGCTGCAGCTGCGCTTTGCTTAAAGCGAAATTCAATTCAGGTGAGAAGGGAAATTCGCGAGATCTGTTTTTTTCTTTTTCGACTAAGCAAATAAGCGGACTTACCTCATCTTCTTCGTCCTCTGTTTCTCCGACATTTGTCTCCTTGTAGCTGACATCGTCATAGTATTATTCGTCCGTGGGATGAACGCGAGGTCGGTAATACGTGATAAAAAAAATTCACAGTTAAAAGCGCTTTAAAACATTAAAAAATAGCTTTTTTGCCTTCACTCGTCGCGATCAGCTCATCAGCTGGGATCAGCGGAAGTTAATGTCTGTTCGCCTCCGCGCGTGCGTCAACTCGAACATGGTGGCCAACGCAGGTGATGTATGTCAAAGAATTGTGCGAATTTTAATCCGAGACTTTTTTTCGTCCAAATCGAAACCATTTTCGAAACTCCGAAGTCTTGAAACTTCGTTTAGTAATTTTCTTCATTTTTATTCTTACGTTTCTCATTATTGTCCGTTTTTAAAGAGTGTTTTTAATTTGTTCGGTAGTTTTAATTAAATTTAATAGTTAACATATCTAGATTGAAAAATTGCCGAAATTATTAAAATAATATTCTGCCGAGAAATAGAGGTCTTCTTCTTCCTAGTGTTGAATTGTGATAAATTGAAGTCGTAATACCAAATTCCAAATTTAAGAAGAATTTAATGTATTTCTATACACTTTTCTTTTTTCTCCCTATTTTGGAGGTTTATTAAATACATATGTGCCGGAAGTATTAGTAATTAGTTCCCGGGCGCCTCCTGAAACGCAGAGCTGGAACTCTTGGGGTTTTAGTGGGTAGGCTGCGCGTGTCCCTCGGGGCACGCGTGGAATCCCACACTCTCCTCGTCCTCTTCCCGGAGGGCGTGGGGGTCTTCCCCCTCTAACACCCCGAGGGAGCTGCCGGGCCACATACCGGATTTCGATCCGGGAACCCAGCAGTTGAAGATTTCCCCAAGTGAAAAAAAAGGTTTATTAAATATATAAGTTCCAATAAGCACGTAAATCAAAGTCAAATATTGCGAAAGTTCAGTTGAAGAAATAGACAAATAATTTTAATTAGGACTTAATAGAATTCTTTTAATAAATGAAACAATACAATCTATTATTTAGATTAAGAAAAAAATATTCCAATTTAAGCTCGGAATAAATTTCTGATAATTCGAACGATTTTTTCGAGAGACGCGTGACATTACTGCATTATCATTCCTATCGAATAAATGGATAAACAATAATCTTATCTGTGTATGATGATAAATTTTATGTAGTCAGAGGCTGAAGATTTTGAAAGGAGTAAAAAAAATACTGACACGCACTTAAAAGATTGCCAGAATATATTTCCTGTGCTTTTCCTTCTAACGGCGACACGCCGCGTTTGCCATTAGCTACGCTACAATATTGTTCGACTCATACTCTCTCTCGCATTCATAAATATGAAAACACACGCACGCGCTGCTAATCACGAAATGAGGAATATTTATCTGTACACCATCGACCGCAAGATTCTTTAGATATATATCTTTAGATATATATATTTATTTCTTTAGATATATATTCGCTCCCGCGCATATCTTTGTTCGTTATTCGGCCTTAAAGGTAAGTATTGTCGTATTTACTTTTTAATTTTCTTTCCGTAATATGATAAAGAGTTCTTCCGGAATTTTTCGGAGTTTTTCGTGAAAATTCCGCAAATGTTACAATTTGCGACACAAGCAAAGATGTTTTATTAATATTTTTATTATTATTAAGAAGAATAATCGTATAAATTTCTAAAAATAGAATTATCTAAACGGCACATTCAAAAAACGTTTAAAAGACGCTCTAAAAGTTATCCTAAAAATTTATAATATCTTTACGGTATTTTTTAGACATTTTAATTTATCCTAGATTACATGCGATCAACATTCTTATCAAAAATAAATGTATCAAAAACTCTTGATAAAAAAATTCGTTTTCCGAAAATTTTCCGAGTTTTTCTTAAATTTCACATAGACAAAGATTACTTTACAAACGTCGAATTTGTTTCCTCCTAATCAAAATTCAGGCAATCTCAGAATCGTATCTTATTTTATATTTAACTGAGTATTTAAGATACTCAAGTATCTCTTTAGATATATATTGAATATATAAAAGGATAGAGAAATAAATTCGACAATTTTAAAGCTAATTCCTAATTTATGCAAGTACCTCCGCTAACTTTTCGTATTGGAAACAAATAGAGTCGACGCATAAAACGCACACACGTTTAAAAAAAACACTAATAAGGAGGAGAAAGTTTCTTGCATCTTGCATCGGGAAGCTTAGAGTCACTGTTGATTATTGCGAATTGATTGCCACGATAGTTGCGCTGACAGATTCCCGCGCAAATATCGCGCAGCGACGATTCCCAAGTTGTGCAAAGGGACGTGAAATCGTGTTGTCGCCGATTTTGCAAAATTTAGAAAGAACGGAAATGCAACGAATTCTTACAGCGATTAAGCCGTTTATTCGCGTACGGACGTATTATTCGAATCGCGAAGCGTGCGTCCTGTCTTGCTTAACTGTCTTTACTTAGCTATCCCTTTGTAGATCACAGTTTCGATCGTAATACGCAAGGTATTCCAATAGAAGTCGATTAGAGAGCAATTTTTCAACTATTTCTACAAAATGAAAAGTCGGGAAATCTTGAGAGAAATATTCGTATCAATAATCTCTTTATCGTATATTTTACAAAAAGATACGAAACAACTTCCAAAGGTAGCAACATTTGGAAGGTAAAATAGAACACTTTCCGCCTTAATAAACTTTCTTTCAACTGCTCCTCAAACTACTTATTAAATAGTACTTTCGGACTTATTGTACGACAAAATCCTACTGTGGATTGTTTAAGGCACGCTTGCTGAACAATTGATACGTCACCACGTAGGGATAAAGAAGATGATTAAAACTAATACTTCAAAATATTGTACAATTAATATTTAATAACAAGAAGTAAAACACACATTATATTAAAAGTGTATTTATAGATACAAATTAATGTTCAATTTGTATAAATGAATCTATATTGATCTATTTATTTTACATTGATCAGACTAATACCGCAAAAGGGCATTTTTTAGAATTTTTTTCTGCTTACAATTAAAAAGTTAAAAAAATACATCTAACTCCGACATTTCTTTTTAAGCGACAGTTTAATATCTTTTTTAAGGATCTCGAGTATTGCTTGCTTTTTTCGACGTTATCATAATTTGAGGCATAATGTAGAAAGAAAAAATTAATTTTTAGATGTATCCATATTTTCTGAACATTATATATATAATATATATAATTTACGTCTAAATACACTTTTTTTAATTTAATTTGTGTCTTATTCATTACGAAATATTAATCAGATAGTAATATATTATAATATTAGTTTATGGTCACGTTTTCTTGCTTTTTTTCTCTACGTGTGTCGATCTGATATATCGCGGGACATTTTAGTTTTGATTGATATTGAGCATGTATATTATATACATATATATATATATATATATGTATATGTATATATATATAATATCGCTTTCGATTTGAGCTATTCTTAACGACTAACGTAAACCCGATGCCGGCAACATGTCGTCCCGGCATTATCCTCTCACATTAGCGCATTATCCTTTGCGTAAAGGACAATGCACAACGCAAGTGCTACGAGATTAACCCTTTGGCTGCGAAGGGCGCGATACGCCAATGTATAAAATTGTGATATCTATGACAGCGGAGGGAGAGAAAACGGATCGGCAGATTACCGCGAGGACCCCAGGATCTAAAAATCAAGGGTGACTTAAAATTTAGAGCTTAACGCTAGGCCCGTATTCTCGTCATACGTTTAGAATGATATGTATAATCTCATTTTTATATTTATCTTGTTCATATAAGGTGAAACAGGATTAAATGGCCGCTTATGGATGCCAAACGCGTACGATGACAATACGGCCCTCCGAAGAAGCAGAAATTCAATGGTCGACAAATCTCGAGGGATTTGAGAATTGATAGATCTGCTCTTTCTTATAATAATAAAGTATCGACACATTTTATGTGTCTTCTCGAAGGAATGCAGTGTCGCTAAATATATATATACTTGACAACTGATCTCCTTAGGATATACGACAGCTCGTTTTTTTCAAATAATGTTCAAGCTTCGATATATCATGCATGAGAGATACCTCGTATATATAAACGTAGCGACACATAACTTCAACATCGTTTTTTCCACCATTATTTCGTAATAAACACTGCTATACAAAAAGTCTTCTAAATCACATTATTATTATTAATCATTCAGCGGCGCCCAGATTCAGCATCGTATACAAAATTAATATTTTTTGGCAGCATCAGTTGTAATAAGAAAAAAAAGAAATGTATAGTTATAATATTATTCATTCATATTTTGAGAGTCTTCTTTTATTTCGTATTCTATTTTTTGTACTCAATAGTCATATTAATTAATATTAATTAATATTAATTAATCATTATTTACATGATTTTTTTGTTATACGAGCCTGTTTATGTTATACGATTTAAGAAGAGAAAAAATAATTTAGATGCACAATAAAGTTGAAATTTAATAGATTAAAATTTAGTTTGAGAAATGAGTGTAGAAGAAAGAATTTTGTTACACGAGTGCGAATATACTCGGGCGTCACTTCCTACTGTCCCGCTGTTTGAGAGTAAAATCCTCTTGAAGTTCAGCCCCTTGAAACTAATGAACCGCAACACGGACGTCCTATAGTCCGTGTTTGCGCAAAATGTCATTTCCTTTCTATTTGCTTTTCTTTTCTCTTTCCTCTATTGTCATGGTCTCGGAAAGCTGTCGTGTGATTGAGCACCACTGCAATTATAGTTAACTCTCAAATCCCCGATAAAAGATACCTCCCAACATCGATTGTACGCTCGTGATGCTTAACGAACGTTTATTAAATGTACTGGCCATACATCGAACGCGAATAGAGGATATTATTGGGAGAAATTGATATAAACTATATACGAAACATCCTACGTATACAATTTAGTTTGATATTTTCTGAAAAGATATTCTCCCTGAAGCTATGATCTTATTTGAGACTCCAATAGAATAGTAGTTAAAAGTAGAATATATCGGGACAATTGATCTATTTTTGAACGCCATACTCTTGTCTACGAACTCGGTGTCTTTCCTCGATTTACGACAGTTCTTTCTTTCCAAAATCAATTATTAGTTTCTGTTTCAAGGGACTAAATTCGATCGAGGGATCTCCCGCATTGCTGGTCGCGTCGATAATATGTCTTTCACACTTTTCCCTCGCGAGTTCCTCTAAGGATACCGGGGGTCCGTCAAATGCCGCGTCGACGCGGGATACTGCAGATTGTGGTAGGATCTGCTGCGTCTATAATCGCGTGGTAACTGATTCGAGTGGTGATACGCGGCGTATGATCCTGGGCAAGGAGCACTGGCCGTTCGCGGATCGTTGCCGTCCTCGCCCGACGCTCGCGGTTGCGTCACGGCGCCGGGATAATCCGGCGGCGGATGTTGGGGTTCGCCTACCGCGGATTGGAACTGCGACGTGCCGTATAGGACGCCGATGGATCGCCTCCACATGTCGTGGCGGCTGCTAATCTGATTCGGCTGCTGCTGGTCCTGCTGCTCCAGTGGCTGCTGGCGCCTTCTGCTCTGCGAGGAGCCGCTCTCGGTCGAGTTGCTGTCCTCGCTGGTACCCAAGCCGGGATCCCTCTCCTCGAACGCCGCCATATTCATTGCGAGATTGTCCTGAAGCGGCTTGATGTCGCCTGGACCGTAATAGACTAGATGAGGAAGCGGGATCACGTAAGGCGGCTGTTGCTTCTGCTGCTGTTGTTGCTGCTGCAACTGCAGTTGCAGCTTGCTCGCCTGCAGCTCCTTCTCCTGCGTGCTGTTCTTTGTGTTCTCCACTTCACCGGGCTCGCTCACACCGCCGCCGCAGGACCCAGGCCCGAAGAGGGACAGCAACACCGGCAGCAGGAACATACCGTGCATGGCGCCGATGAAGATCACCAGGAAGACCATTTTGAAAAATACCAGGAAGATATAGGTGCCGGCCAACAGGAGAGCCATCAGGCCGAGTATCGTCGAGGCGGCGCCCTGAACGATCGGCAGACCCAAGCTGTAAAGGCTGTCTTTGACCCGATCCTCCGCCCGCTGTCGCTTCGAGCTCATGTAAGCGTAGCAGATATGCGCGGTGAAATCGACGCTGAAGCCGATGCACATGATCAGATTGATCATGGAGATGCTGTCGAGATTGACGTCCCACAGGGCCATGTAGCCGGCCACTCCCAGCTCGATCGACACGATGCAGAAGGCGACCCACAGGCAGCAGAAGATGTTCGGAATGAAGATGAAGCTGATGAGCATCATCACGAGCGCGCCGAATATCATGCACTGAATGCTGGTCGGCTTTACCAGATCGAACTGGTCGAAGTACACGAAGTACGGATGGTAGACGGTCGCGTTTAACGGCGACGCCGCGCATATTCCGCGCAGCTCCTTCACCATGTCCTTCTCCTGATTGGTGCCGCTCACGTTCACCGGCTGTATCACGAACCGACTCGCCACGATCTTCTCGCCCGTGCTGTCAAACTTGATGTCCAGGGAGAACTCGGGATTGCTCGAGAGAAAGTGCTTCAGATTCTTGATGAAGCTGTGCTCGTCCGCGATGCTCACGTTTAGGAAGTCGTTGCTCGCCGAGTCGACGAAGCTGCGGAGCCAGCTCTGGGTGTAGACTGAATCGCTGCTGATGTACTTGGTTGCTTCGAGGCTTCTCGTCAGGTTCTCCATCTGCTCCTGGATTATCGGATCACTGTAGTTGTATTCTCCGGACACCACCACCTACAGAAATAACGAAAGAAATTGAAATGTATTCTTTAAGAGTAATTTTTTAAAATATTAAACTGAAAATCGCGACGAACGAATATTCCGCAAGAAAAAACTGAATCACTTTCGGTCAAGATTCCTTTAAATGATCATCTGTTATTTTTCTCTCCTTTCCCTTTCTACAGTTCACGAAAGTCGCAAACGTAACGTAACGTTAAATGTCGCGGATAATGTACACCGTTGGTCGGGCGGCTTTTCGGGAATTCCTGCGGTATCTCCCGTGAAAGTAATTTCGAGAAAGCGTCGTGGTCCGGCTTCCTCTCCAGCGCCAGCGGCGCGAAGTCGCAGCGTCACGTTTTGTCATGATTATGCAATTTGTCCGATCTCCGACACGTTGACGCACGAACGCATTTCGACGTGAACGCGTTTCGCGAGCGGATCCAATTACGTCGTACGTCGGTTATTAAGAGTTCACCGTGACAGTAGTTTCTCGAGTGACGTTTCCGCGCAGTCATCGGAACTTGACGGCTCGTGACATCGGGACGTTATTAATATCGCGAGGAAGCGCGATAGCGCGAGACCATCTTCGTGAAACGTACAACTTTCACTACAATGTATCGGACTAGAAGGTCCCCAGTGAAATTCTCAGTCTACGATCACATCTCTCTCGCTGTATTTGTAATTTTACTTCGTCGGAGAGAGAGAGAGAGAGAGAGCTCAACGCCGCGCAAAGAAGCGCGCTCAAGACGCATTGAAATCGCCTCCGAAAGCCGCGTTATGAAATATTCAATTATCTAATTGAAAGTCGCAGAAGCTGCAAGAAACTTTTTTGCAAGAAATTAATGCACCTGTCGGATTTTACTTTTTATAAATATCGCGCAACTTTTTAAAAATACGTGACTTTAAGACGGACGATTTGTATCAGAACTCAGGATAAAATTCTACTTATATAATTTTATGTGCCGTGTGTAAAGTCATAAAAAGCTCATAAATAAAATATGTACAGCATACAAAATAAAATTATCAGGTTTCCTGAAATCTGACGTAAAATTATAGGTCTTTTAAAATGGATTTATACACCCAGATTGACGATATTTAATTAATTCGTATTTGTGGAAATAAAATAAAGATAACAGATACATTAATGAATATTTTGCATTCGATAAAATAATGATTAAAAAAAAAATACATTTAATATCATTCTAAACGTAAATAAAATCTCGAAACTATTTAATTATATCGTGGCAGTAAAATAAAAATAACTTCCATGTTTCGTGTAACCATTTTGTAAGAAATGTCGAAACGTCGGAAATAAAACAGAGAAAGGAATCTTTCCGGATGTGTGCGCGAGTCTAAATGATCGGCGTGAAATTATTTGGCATCACGTGATTCGGGTAAACAAGTAGGGATTTATACGGGGATCTCTCCGATTTAGCCGGGTCTTTCTCGTCGATCGGTTCGAAGAAGCGTGATGTAACGGACATTGCTTTTCTTGAGGTTCACGCTAGCCAGCCGGAGAAAGTTGTTTGCACGATATCGAGGGAAGCACGTGACATAATTGCGCGTACCGGATTATGCGTGGCAGTTCCAAGCGTAACGCACTCCGTTCTTCCGAACGTTTCTTTTTTTTTTCTTGCGCCGCTTATGAGGAAACATTCCGCCGGCGAGTTCGCGTGCATGGAAACCGGAACTCTCTAAATTCTAAATATTGACCGACGCGGCTCTCGAAGCGTCAAGAAACAAGGGTGGGATCCGCGCGGTCATAGAAACGGATTATTTTGCATAGTCAATAAAGTGGTGGCAAAAAAATGTTATTGATCAACAATCGAGGTGTTGAATTGGAAATTGAGATTTTTTGAGTGTCGCGTGTCGCGTAACAGTTACATCAGTGTTTACTTTTTGTCGCAGCTTTTTCCTGGTATTTGTGCAGTTTTTCTGATATTCAGATAAAATTTGTGGGAGTAATAAAACGATAAATATTGCACACGAAATAAAAAATTTGGGAAACTTGTATCCCGATTACATTACGAGTAACTTTGCAAATATCTACCTGTATCCTGTAAGAGTACTCTTTGAAGTACAAGTCCTCGCGGTCGTAAAAGGCAATCGAGTAGGAATCTTCCTTGGAAAGCTTGCGCCGCTCCAGGCCCTCCTTAAGGGTCGTAAGTCCGTAAAGAGCGCCGAGAAGGTAGCATAAGAAAATGATGATGACAATGGCTTTCACAGGGCGATAATTTAACGCGGCCGCCAAGTAATCGCGGAACCAAGTCATGCATCCGTGCTCGGGATTGTCGATCGGATTGTGAGGGTCGTCGGGATCAATTCCGCCGGAACACAACGCTCTGTACAGCCACGATCGATGAGCTGAAATATGTCATATGTCGTTTAGGATAATAATTTCATAATAAACTTGAAAATTTCATAATAATTCCTTTTTATTATAATAAACTTCCGTTTAATATAATAATTTCATATTAAACTTAATAGAAAAGACGTTGCTTGTCGTGATGGTAATTCTCGGTTCTAAGATATTTCATTGCATAGATGTTATAATCCGCGATATCGAAGCAACATCGGTCTTTTCTTTTTCGGCACATTGCAGTCATCGGCCTGACAATGTTTGGAAAAATAAAATATGGAGAAAGCAAACTCTTTCCTTTACATAATGCCGTATGACCTAACGAATTAACGGTTTCCAAACGTAACGCGTGTCTGTCTGTATTGACGTAACATCGATACGTCACGCGGACGTAACGAGATTTCGAACGGTGGTATTCTGCATAACAACGATCGACTTATATAGTGAGAGAAAACAACGACGTAATTATAAATTTACAAGGAACTGACAATTCCTGAGTAATTAATCAGAACTAGTATTTAATAAATCGAGAATTACCGTAAATTTAGGTTTTATAAGAAGATCGAAATGCAATGACGTGAAAGAGACAAAAACTTACAATATTCCTACAATAGTAAAACAATTGTAATACTTACTGGATTTGGATAGCGGTTCCACTTTGCAGCAGATAACGCTGTGCAAATTTCTTTGTTCGCAATAACCGCTGATCGCGACGCATCCGCTGAAGAACGTTAAGTGAAACAGGAAAGTGAAGATCACTGCGAAACCTGTCATTCAATGCATATATTAATATTAATTAATTATATATAAATATTAATAATTTAAGAAATATATGATTAATATGAATTCCATCAATATGCATATCAAAAAGTCGTAGTAAACTTTCAATAACTATCTCTTTTTTTAATCGTCAGAGTTTTCGAATACTTCGCTTGTATATAATTTGTTTTATTCGGATACCTGAGTAAATGCAGAAGATTTGGACCGAAGGAAACGGCGACAAGATGCCGATAAAGAAAGATATCATGTCCGTCAGGGACGTGATGGTGATGGAAACGGCAGCCTCGCTCAATGTCGCCGCCATCCTTTCCGGAACTGGTTTGGAGATGCTCGTCCTTCTCCAGGCCGCTAACATGACGAAAGTATCGTCGATCCCTATTCCTGTAATCGAAAAGCACGATTTACACAATTGTAATTTCTCGCAAAGCGACAAAACGATGCTGAAAAAAAAGTAAACTCTAAACTTATTTACATTTTCGAAGAATATCTTTAGTTTCCTTTTTCTTCCATTTTTTCAGCTGTGCGAATTTTTTCAGCGCACAAATTTTTTTCCATTATTATTATTCAGTTTATAATCTTAAGAAAGTTCAAACTATTTTAGTTTCTACATTCAGGATGGAATCGTGAATATTTAACCGTGAATATTTTCCGAGAAAAATATTGTTTAAAGCAATAATACGTTTTCTAAATACACTCAATCCTTCCTTGAAAATTTATCATCGCCCATTCTTCGGTTAGTTGTCACGTCTGTTTTCAAGTGTCACGTCCAATTTCTCAGAGAGCATGAACAGTAATAGAAAATGTGTTTTTCGCGGTAAATCAAGACCGCGCGACAATGCATTCCGCATTCGTATTGGAATCTTCAAAACAATACGTAATTGTTCGTGACTAATGAAGACGTTATCATATGACGTTTCTTCTCTCGAGTGTTTAATTTAGTTCTATTTTATTCTATTTAAAATCTTTTACGAAATAAAATTACAATTATATTGTAATTAATTATTGTTTTTTAATTATCTACTAGCTAAGTACAATTTTTAAATTTTATTATAGAGAGAGAGAGGTAAATCAATCGACTTTCAAAAATTCGCAAATTTTCTTCGTTCTCTTTTGCTCGATTTAATTAGTCGAATTAAATCGGACGACACGGGAAACTGTCGATTCTTTATTAACGCTACGTGTTTTCGGATGAAACTCGAGCGAATAACGGTCGTTTTGAGAATTGCGGTCGGTCGATTGGATCGAATAAAGCTGTTATTATTGGTAAAGACTGACTTCGCTCGGCGTCGAACGCAGGCGAGCGCGACGTCGAAAGGGAAAAAGCGACTTCCGCTTTTCACATAAATCACAGTTCGTTTATTTCGCTTGTATGCACCAGACGAGCTAACATGCTTATCGTCGAGAACACGTGTTTCTACAGACGCGACGAGGAGATTACGGCATCGCATTGCAAAAAATTGCGAAGCTCAGATCGTTATTTTCGTTGCTCAACTTAAATGCGAAGTATCAATTTAAATATCGATTGTGACAAATCGATTGTGAGGGGATTGGTAATTGGTACCCAGGTAGAACACGAAAGTCACAATAAAGTCAAACGACGTCAAAATAATGGTAAAACGACAAAAAAATAATTTTACCCGCGTAATTTTGACATCATCTTGACTTTATTATGACCCTGTTCTACCTGAGTAATAAAAACGAGGGAATTATGTATATAAACTATAAAGTATTTCGAAATTATAAAAAAATATCTGACGAATTCGGAATAATTTTATTTTGATGAAATAAAGATATTATGCGATCAAAATTTCTTCTATTAACTATTAAAAGTAACGTATTATTAATTAATAATGAAAGGACTTTGCACTAAATTTGTAAAATATATTACAATCGATGTATCTATATATTAAAATGCGAAACCTCGCGCATTTACGCTAATTGTTTCATATTGAAGGATGAGCTCGGAATTATAGAGATATACATATGTATAAAAACGGTAACGGTTTCGCAGCTCACCTATCATGAGGAACGGCGCGGCGAGATTGAGGCCGATGAAGTCGACCCCCAGGTAGATGCACAATCCGAAAGCGGCGACTGTTGCCATCGCGGCCGAGAGGTTGCCCAGAAGACCGAGCCAAGGTTTGCTGCGCACCCAGTCGGTCATCATGCACGTCACGACCGAGAACAGGCTCATTATGATGAACGTGCTGGCGAAATACGGCACGACCGTCTTCGTGTTGGCCTCCAGCTCCAGCTCGAGGGTCCTCGAGGCGAATCTCGCGGTGCTAATGTGCTTAAACACACCTCCGTCCTCGGCTTTGCCGACGACTTCCAGAAAAGCCTCCTCCCAAGCGGCGCCGCTGATTCGGCAAATTGAAAACAGATCAAATTATATCAAAGAATATATCTACCGAAAACTATGTGAAACATTAGATATAAGAAAATTTTGGCCGACGGAAAAACACGATAGACTTTATTGGATCTTGGTTTTTGTTTCTTCTCTCAAGTTTAGCTTTTTAAATGCTTCCCGAGTACAAAATAATTTGACCCACGGTCAAAATGTATCCGAAACAAATATGGCTAGAAGACTATCAATATACATATATGCTTTACCGTCTTCAACAATAACAATGGGCAATATAATATGGTCACGGGTGAATCACAGACACTTATTATTTGCACGGACGCCGCTGATAGCAATAGATGATTCAATTGGTCATGTCCGACCGACGACCATGTGGCGAATTAATGAGATACTACTTCCACGAGCACAGCTGATTATCAAGCAGAAAAATTTGACTTGTAGCTCTTATAACAATGCATTCTGCAGTTCTATGCGACGCGACGTAACAAAATGAAATATACAAAACTTGGACCGCCGTTTACACATTTTTTAAATTAATACTGTTAAATATTAAAGAATGAAATTTAAACCAATACCTTGAGTTAAAAATATTTTGTTAACATGTGTGTCCAGTATTAAGTATTTTAATTCCATTGGTTTAGTTGAATTAACATTGTTTTAGTTAAAAACGACATATTGAGTACGAGCAGTGGCGACCTATGAAAGTGATAAAAATGACTGAAATTAAGTGTAATTTTAACAGTACGAATTTAACAGTAAATATTTAAATTTGTGACATATAATTAGATATTTTTGCCAAAAATCGAAATCTGGAAAATGGAAATTTGCTACTGGTATTTATTAACGTGACAATATTCCGCAAGTCCTGCAGTATTTGTACGCGTAAAGCGTATATTTTTCATGGACTTTGCACACTCCCGAGTCGGTAAACAACGGTCGACATTACTCTGCCGTCGTGTATGATTGAAATAACTGGACCAATTCCATCGAGCGAATACCGACGTGTTTGCGAGCGTGATCGGTAAGACTTACATTGCGTCCTGCCGTGGACTGCCGGCGGTGATGAAGTAGGCGAGCTGCACCGAAGGCGTCGATTCGATGGTGGAATCATCATTGACGACGCTTCCGCCGAATTTCAGCGCGAGCACAAGAGCCTCCCCGGTGTTGACCGGATTGAACACCCACGGAAACGTCAGATTTACGTCCCGCCTTTCCACGTCCCTGAAAAAAGTTTGAGGCTCGATTTAAAACGCGAATTAATCAGTTTGTTTTAAAACACGCCATTTTACTCCTTTGCGTATTCGGAATCACTTATTTATTCATTTCGTTAATGCGTTTCGCATACTTCATTATCACACGTAGATCTAAAATGTCGTTGGCGAAGCAATCGTCGAGCCATCGCGCACAAATTTGCTCGTAGGTGAACACCTCGTCCTCGTACTTGGCCGTGACGTTCCTGATTAACCAGTCGAGCTGTTGTAGCTCCTGCCAAATCGCGCTCTTCAGCATATTATGCCCGCCATCCTTGGGAATCACAATTACTCGACCGAATCGGCCTGCAACAAGCAACGGATTCAATCGATCACTAACCAGGAAATAAAACCATTCTTCCGGTAATAGCAAAACACATTGGCTTCTGTATTGCCTTCCTATAAGCGCGGCGAGGTAAAAAGTTAGTAGAAAGTCTAATTATGAAAATATTTCATAATGGAAATCAAGAAAGTTAAAAGATTTTTTTTTTTAAGTTAAACCTTATTTTAAGAAATAACGACACACTTGAGATTCGCTTTTTAAGATCGATGTTGAAAGTTGTGATTGCTCCAGGCATTGAAAAAAAATAATAAAAAGCGAGAGAGACTTAGATATACAGTTTTTCTGTATAGAAGAATTTTATAGGCGTGTCAGGAATATATCTTATCTATGCCGACTCTCGACTGGAAGGATTACAGGCTCGCTGGATTCCTCGCGGGCGAAGAAATCGCGTGAACGGCAGGCAGGATCGAGACGGAGACTCTCACCTGGTCGTGTGATACGGCTGACATCGAATTGGTGGCTGTAATTGACTTTGAAGTACTGCTCGACTATCGCTCGCTCGGTCTTGCTGGGGCCGTTGATGGGCGAGAAGAGGTATTCCGGGTCGATTTCGTAGTGTATCCTCTGGTAGCCGGTGAAACATATGCACGCCAGCAATATCGGCACGATTACGAAGTAGCCGGGGTGTCGACCGACAACGAGGCCAACCTTGTAAAACGCGCGGTTCAAGAAGTCGTCGACGCACGTCAAGTGCCACATCTGAAAGCGAAAGTACAATAAAACCGTTAATCATTATTCCATCTGATACGTCGCTGGAATATCGAGGATCGAGACCGAGTTAACGAAATCTTTTAACCTACACTATTCAATTTTTAGTGTCAAATTACACTCAATTCGAGTCTTTTTTAATCATTCCTTTACGTCACCACTCCACTCAATATGTCCTTATAATTTGACTAAATCAGTATAGTTAAAATAGTGCTGTTTTATGATAAAATATAAATTTCAACACATATGGTAGTTAAAAATTACAAAGTGGTTATTTAACTCCGAGGTACTGGTTTCAATTTCATCCTTTAATATTTAACAGTTTTGGTAGAATAAAACTGAGGTGCATGTGGAAAAATCACAATATGTCGTTAATTTAACTAAACCAATGGAGTTAAAATAACACTGTTTTGTGTTAAAATAATAAATTTCGACATACAGGGTAGTTAAAAGTAACAAAATGTTACTTAACTCAAGGTATTGGTTTAAATTTCATCCTTTAATATTTAACAGTATAGATAATTCTTTGGATTGAGTGTCAGAAAAAAGATAATTATTAACAATAGTAAAAGCGTTATGGTTATTGAGTTGTACACGGTCAGATTGCCGGGACATTTTTTAAGATTTCGCAAAAAACAAAGGATGTACAAAAATTTACGCCAATCTTCGTCATTTGAAAGCGCAAATCAAACGGTCTACGGAATGATGGAGTCGGAACAATAAGTCGCTTCCTGCAAACGATCCCCTCGGATGAGCCGCGATCGACAGATCGTTTGTTGTGTAGAAACTGTAGAAAGCACGCTTTACACGCGCAAGAAACGTTCCGAGCTGTCCAATTAGTGTTTTGCATTTCCAACACATTGCGCGTATATACCGCGGTAAATGCAAAGTAAGTTGCTGGGTGAATTGCTGTGTACAAGATTGAATCTCAACAACTTATGGTTCGTTGAACGCGCAATGCAAAAAATGCGCCGTAACGTATAGTGTGTTTTTTTTCTCTCTCTCTCTCGTTGTTACAAAAATTTATTGTTCGCTTAAATCGGCGAGCGCGCCTGATGATAATTGCGCTGTTTGCTTATTCAACGCTCCTCGAAGTTAGAATAAGCGCGGAAAAACTTGTCATCCATGTATCATAAAGAGTCACGGCTTGACTTCTTACGACGCGGTTTTGCGGAAATGAGATTTCACCGAAACAAGTCAATAAAATGTGAAACGAGACGTAATTTATTTAAGACACACCAAAAATATCTTCGATATCGGATTTCACGAAATATATAATATCCGACAGAGAGAAATTTGCCGGGTGAAGAATTTAACAGGGACACGTGGCCAGAAATATAAGACACCGGATTGAAGGATTGTTACACTCACAGAGAGCCCGTCGCTTTCCTTCAGATTTCTAAAGAATTCTGGAATAGCAGAGTCCAAACTTATATGCGCGTGCGAAATTGAAATGTCAATTTTAGTTCCCGGGTTATAAGCGATTGAGGCATTGGAGGATTCGTGCGAGAGAAGCATTTAGGATGATTGTCATTGAAATCATGTAGAAAAGTGTCGTCAGACTTGACCTACATTGTTCAGAATTACGTGTTCGGCGTGCTGAAAACTTAACGAGATTGACTGTGCTTTATAAGAGCAGATCATTCACGAAATCAGCAATGCTTACGCACTTTAATCCTTTATTGCTCAGTTTCGTAAACATTCTTTCTGATCTTCTTTTCCCTTTCTCATACTTCTTTTCTACATCCTTTCAATCAGGTTTTTATCCCGTTTGATATATAATCTACGAACCTGTATTTATTGACAATACGATAAAAATTATAAGATGTTTTAATCCTTCCACATATAGAATATCTCCATCCTGTATAAAAAAATAAAAATCGCGTAATTATCTTAAGTTAATCTAAAATAGATTTTCAATTTACCGCTGTTAATTAAACAAGTTTAGCCCGACCAATGTCGCGGCGTAAACAATTCTTAATCGATTTTCGTTTAAACTCGTTGCTATTCATAACACCGTATCCATTAGTAATTCAATAAGGTTCCCGATTCCCGACTGGTCTCTCATATTCCTACGTAATGACAAAATAGAACCGATCGTAATAAAATTACTCCAAGTTACTTGCAAAATTATACAATCAAATGTACAATCAAATTGAAATAGCCATAATGATATAATATAAATACCTTTTTCCGGCTTTGTTATCGTCGAAACATCAAAATTAATCAAGAAAAAGAGAAAGAGAGAGGATTCCTCCCCCTTGGTTAATAAAGGAGTACGGTTGGGTGGTTTTTAATCGAAAGCCCTTCGATCGAAACGAGAATCCCGCATCTTTTGTTCCGACACAAAGCCTTTTTTCACGGGACGATGGTGCCCTCATAAGGGGGCAAGATTACATGACACGACCGAAGGAGAATGAATCATCTTCGTCAGATTTTCACGCACGTTCGTCTCCTCACCTTGAAGTTCCGAGATGGGTTTTAATTCATTTTGCGCATATAGAAATATACGGTAACTCGCGGAGTTTTTAATCACATCAACTTACGTCAATCGACGTCAGCCGCGGGCCGAAAACAGACGGAGATTTCTCGCGGAGATAGTCCTATCGAGGTATCAAATTATCCTGACGTCTTAAATATCTCGAATATATCCTGGGATTTAATATTTTAGTTTATAGCGAATTCAGTTGGACGCATCAGTGCGCATCAGTTGCACACTGATTTAATCTCTAATATTTAAAGTAAAATGCAAATATTTCGACTGATAAAATGCCCGATATATGTTTTACCAAATAGTACAATGAAGAATATTGAGAATTTCGTGACCCGTTTATATTAAACATACCTACACTTTACGTTGATTTGTGTACGACGGCTTTAACGTGCACTGAGTGCGCACTGATGCGTCCGAATTCGCTATGAGTTTGGAAAAAAAGTATACAAAATTCATACTGCAATATTTATTATTAGACTATCAAGATTCGGGCCGTAAATGGTGTTTTTCTCTCTAATTAATATAATACTTTAATTTAAGTATTTCTTTTCGGACAGGCTATCTAAATAAAGCGTTCACGGTTGTAAAATCCTGAATTCGTCGAATTCATCGGAACAGAGGGCTCCGTCCAAGGATTTTCGCTGAATCGTTGCATCAATATCGTCGCAAACCTCTTCATAAATTTCCGTATAAATCGATTCCCGACGAAATAAGGAGCACCATAAATCTCCCCGGGAAAGCTCGGTACCAGCCTGGACCGTAGTTTTGCGACACGAAACGGCAAACGGCCGCCACGGGTATGTAGATTCGCGCATAGGGGAGCGGACTTTCTAAAACCGCTCGATCCTGCCCGTGGATTTTCCATCGCGTACCTTAGCCGAAGAAAAGGGGGGAAACACGGGGTGTCGCCGATAGGCAGAAGTTCAGAGGCCAGTGCCAGCGGTGCACAGGTGTTTCGCGCGGAGAAAGTCACGTTGAGGCTACCATTGGGTAATCCCGACCTGCCGCACACCGTCGTCGTTGCTGGCCCGTTTAGAAACGATTGAATAACGTCGCGTAACAATTGCTTTTGCCGTACGTGCGCGGTCTCAGGTTCACCGGTAGCATCTGCATGGCGCCGCGCCGACCCCGTCGGCGGGTGCAAGGTGGGAAAAGAGCTATCGGTTACTACGTGCATAATTTATACGCTCAATGTTGATCTGTTCAAGTTTCGATGACGAAAGAAAATATACGATATCTTGCATACTATTCACACGTCTCTTTGTATTAGAGCTCTCCAAAGACAATTGCTTCGCGATTTTATCGGTATGAATAACTCTGACCTGATCTGAATAAATAGCTGCGATAACCGGGGTTATTTAGACTGACAGTTATTGTCTTAATAACAGACGTAATTAAAAGAGTTTCGTTGGTTTAATTGACTCGTTAAAGAAGCAGAGAGATGAGAAAATTCGAAACAGTGACCTATCGGCTAAACAATTTTTGTCTTTTCTCGCGCGAAATTATATATAATAATTATTATATTAAAGTATATGAGGTGATAGTTGAGAATAAATCAATAAACTTTATTGAACAATGATCTGTATAATAATTAGTATGTACTGGTCTCAATCGCACTGGCCTGACTATAGTTTGATCTTATTTACTGTCATTGATATCATCGCATTTTATAAACGAAGAGCTCTCTGCAGCGGAAGATCGAAGTACGCGCTGTTACGACAGATTATTATCTTTAGGTCACTAGGACACACGCTGATATCTTCTTGACTCTTTAACAGCGATTATGAGCTGGGAAAATCACGTTTTCTAGCGACCAATAATAGTATCGATAAACGAACATATGCCCTGAATAATTTCCGTATACAAGAACTTGCGGAATGTAGAACCTGCCGTGCCGAGGTGTTCGCAACAGATGTAGAAATTTGTGGGGAAAAAAGAAGAAAGAAGGCGTAACACTTTCGAGACTGGAATTTACAAACCTATTTACTCATATCGCGCATTTAAAAACAGATTTAGGGAGTCGTGATGAATTTTGCAATAGACCTGCATCAAATTTTAAGCACTTGCTGAAATAAAACAGGATCTATGAGAAGCGTACTACGAAATAAGAAAATATATAAGGAATATATTTAAAGAAGACACGTAATACAAAATCGATGATACAAGAAGAAGTTTGCGTGACCTATCATCGAGGCGTCAAGTGCGATAGGATCTGTGATAGAAAAAGAGAATCTTCGAAGATTATAATATCACGCAAGAACGTTGATATGAATGAACATGATTAAAATTTTGTAATATCGAGAATTTACGATGTTACAAATCTAAAGTTACACTGTTAAATTTGTAGTGTCAAATACTCTATTTGAATCAGTTTTAACCATTCCTATAGGTTGCCACTGCTCCTACTCAATATGTCGTTAATTTAATGAAACAACGTTAATTTAATTAAACCAATGCCAATGGAGTTAAAATAATAATACTGTATTAAAATAATAAACTTCGACACACATGGTAAAAATAGACA